GGGGGGGGGAGGGGAAATAAAGACGGGAAAATGAGAAAAAATTGACACCCAGGGAATTGCCAATAACTTGCCACTACGGGGCTTGCCTTTAATAGCTCTCTACTTGCTTGAGATTGGTCTTGTTTTGGATGGATCCTAGTACAAAGCTGTGTAGAAAATCCTGTAGAAAATAGTGGATCAAGGTACTTGCCTTGCAATTTTGGTCAAAATAGAAGGGTTTTGATTCGGCCAAAAGATCCAGGACAGGATCAAGTTTGATATCGCAAAGCTTGATCCTTTGCCTTGTCCAGTATGCAACAACATATCTACCATGGATACTGACAAGCTGGAAGACATGAGAGCAGTGAACCAGGCCCGGCACAGGGAGTATCTTGCAGCAAAGAAGGATTATGATAGGGGGAGGACCAACATAAACCCCAGGCACACTGCTGTGGAGTGCTTGCTATTGCTGCAAGTTCACTTGTAACCTTGATCCGAATGGAGGGAACTGTCCTGAGTGCAGCAAGCCTGATGCTGACCACTTGGAATGGGACCCGTGGACAGGATTGCCTCTTGCTTGCCACTGTCTTCTGTGCAACAGTGGATGCAAGGTGCGATTTGCTTCCACCAAGAGGTTCAAGATCAAGACTGATATCCTGAGGGGGATTCTTCTTGATCCTTACAAGGAAAAGAGCTGGGAGAAGGATCCAATAGGAGCTATCAACGATATTGCTACTCATCACATGTTGGAGGGCACCGTTCAAGCAGCAATGGAGGGGTGTCAGTCCTTTGCTGAGGCCAGGCAAAATGCTGGGGCTCATGCAGCAAACAGCTTTGCCCACGACATTCATCTTCAATCTAACGTGGCCTTTAGGAATGCTGTTCAAAAAGCATTTGGAAACAAGACTGATAGGACAGTCTCTCATGGGCTGAGTATTGATCAGGTTAGGAATGGTGTCTGTCCTCCGCGTCTTACAGCTCAGCTGAAGGCCCAGCAGCGGAAGCCTTTACCAAGACAGTGGCAGCCAAGGCAGTATGAGCCTCGTATGAGCAGTGCTGCTGATAGGAGTCACAGGCAGTACAGGAATAATCTCCATGGATCTAAGGCTTCTTCTAGGTTGCCAGGTAAGCATGGATCTAGTCTTGCTGCTAGACTAGCTGCATACAAGGCCCCAGCTGAGGGGTCAATCTCTTGTCCTATTGACCTTGGTGATTTGAGTAGCGCGGATGAGGAAGAGCAGTATTTTGTGCTGCCTGATGCTGTTCAAAGCGCTGGTGTTGCTAATGTCCCTCACTGCACACCTTTCAGTGATCTCAAGCCCCCTGCTTGGCCTGCTGCTGCTGGTTCCTCTTCCTCCTTTGTTACCAAGGTTCGCCAAGTATCTACCAGGAGATACCGTTCTAATGAGAGCAGTCCTGATACTGAAGATGCTCTTGATATGATTATGAAACAGTTGAATCCAGCTTCCACTGATACACCAGCTCGTGGGACAAGGAATACTGTTGAAGATATGTGGAATATCTATCATGGAGATGCTGAAGTAGTAGTGGATAACATGGTGTGGATGAAGAAGAAGGAGCATGGTCTGAAGCCAGCCAGGAAGCCTCCCCCTGTAGCAGCAGCAACGCGGAAGCGTCCCTGAGCTGCAGTGAAACGCGTGGCAAGAAGAGCTGTAAAGCTTCCAGTAGCAAAGCTTACTGTTGATGAAACACTCCTGAGTGACAGTTCCTCCAGTACAATTAGTAGTAGATATCAATCACCATAAAGAGGAACTGGAGGACGTGGATTCTAAGCGCGCGCACTGAGTATCTAGAACTGTAGGCCCAGGGCAAGCTGCGTGGTCAGCAAGCTGGCTCTTTGGGTATTGCTCAAGTCTATTGCAACTACTCTTTGTAGATATCATTCCTACTAAAGATAAACTGTATACAAATAGTACTGCTGTTGAATGAATGGATCTCGCAGATCAATTCCTCTTGAGTATGTCTCAACTGTAACTGAAACGATTGGTCAATCAATTCACCCAACCAACTGTAACTGTAGTATTCAATCCATCTAGTCAATCCATCATCTGAATTGATTCAGCGTCCAAGGAAGAAGCTGCAAGACAAGCTGCTCCAGCAGGGGACTGGAATCCAAGCATCTCCAGTGGGACTGAGTTTCCATAGGCCCAGGATGAGTCACCACGCCAGCAAGCCATGCTCCAGGGGATTCCTCAAGTCCATTGCAGCTACTTGCTGAATCCAGCTCACTTGCTGGAGACCAACGCATTGCTGTTGTTGCTGCTGCTTAATTGTCGTCTCCAGGCTGATAGACACCATCCACAGTGTATCCACAATGAGCAAAGGTATTGTCAACACCTCTAATGGATCTTCCAGCCTCCCTATAGATTGCTTGCTCAAGATCATTTAGGTTCCATTCCCTCAACGTGCTCTTAGAAACAGCACTGATCACGTCAAGGATCTTATACTCGATTGGTCCCCACTTGGGTTGGTATGGAGGCCTGGGAATAGCATGAAAGAGGGTTGGCCTTGGCGCTGGTCTGTATCTAAACACCAGACCAACTGTAGTGGTTAGATGAGGGCCTAGATTGTCCCAGAGGAAGTGTCGCTCTGCATCAGTGTCAAAACCAGCAACTGGATGGGCCTCAATATCCTTGCAAATGGTATCAATGAAGTCAGCAAAGACATGAGCTGTGGTCCCTGCTTGCTGGATCACATTGACCCACCTCCTTGGATTGGCAACGCTTCCTCTAGTGGCTGGAGGCAAACGCAGATCCCCTGGCTCCACAGCAAGCAAGATGGTCAGCTTCTGGCCTCTTGCATAGTGTCCAGGCTTCCTAACCTGGAAGCAAGACAGTGAGTATCCTCTCTTGCAGTTGGTTCTTTGGATCTCCATACCAAACTCATCCACGTCAATGAACTTCCTCCTTGGGATGCCAACTATCCCAACTGGAGGAGGCTCATTCCAAAAGATCTGGGCCCTGAACAAGTTCTCAGGAGTGAAGGCTTTGTAGGCCTCCGTAGCTCCAAGCTTCCTTGTCTTGCCTATCCCTTGAAGTCTCTTCTGAATCTGAGAGCAAGTATAGACCCCCCCTCCCCTGTTGTAAACATAAGCAGCAAGGTTGTCCAGGGATGAATCAGGATACATCCATAGATAAAACTCAAGATCATAGAGCTCCAAGCCTACCACCGTTTTGGATTCTTTGTTGCCTGTCTTTCTGTATCTGTGCAGTCTTTTCCTCCACCTTCTGATTGAGGATTTAATAGCAAAAACAGGAGGAAGACCATCCTCCTTCCTTGTCAGTTCTGCTAGTCTAACATGCCCATCATATCCTTCAGATCCTCCCTTGTTAGGATGAGGCCTCTCAGCTCTCTCTTGTTGTGTTAGTCTAGTTAAGCCATGGTCGGCTCTGATCGTTGCAACCTCATCTGCTGGATCCTTTCTGCTCATGTTGCTGTTTGTTGCCGACGTCGTAAGCAGTCTCGTCGTAAAAAAAGAGTTGCTACTGTAACACACTATAAAATCTGTTACACTTGCTTGTTTGCAACAGTTAAGGGCTTATTCAATCGACAATTGAAGAGAGCTATCGATTGATACCAAGTACAGTAAGAAAGGTTGAGTGGAAGTGCTTGAAATAGAGCTAATTTCCATGGTTGGTTGCTTGAACCAAGTAGTTTTCTTTAGAATGAAAGAACAGTTTAGTGTGCTGGATCAGCACGCTGGATCAGCACGCTGGATCAGCACGGAGGCAGGTAAAGGTAAAGACAATAGGCTCCAGTACAATTTTGAACGAGGAATCAAAACCCTTCTATTTTGACCAAAATGGCAAGGCAAGTACCTTGATCCACGATTTTCTACAGGATTTTCTACACAGCTTTGTACTAGGATCCATCCAAATAGACTGAT